TATTTTCCATCAGTATTTTTATCATTCTTTTCAGTATGCATTTCCTGTTTTATCTATTTCTTCTTCAAAATTATAGCCATCAAAATTAGGTATAATGTGTTAGTAAGTTCTAGTGCAAATATGAGATTTCTGAGAAAGATTTGTTTATCTGATTTTTTGTTGTTGTTTTTGGTACCAGGGATCTAACTCAGGTCCTTACACTTGCCAGGCAGTCCATGGCAACAGTGAGCTAAATCCCTCGCCCTGATTATTATTTTTTTTAATTGAGTTTATTGGTACAATTTAGGTATACAGTACAGTTACATTCATCATTGGGATCTTGTACCTTCACATGACAGGTCTTGGTTCTCATTTTTCCCCTTGTTCCTGCCCTCCTTTCACCCCCTCCTCCCCCCCCATTTACAAACACTTTATTTCCATTTTTCCATTTTCTTATATATTATTCTTTTCCCTTATTACCTTTCCCCTACTCTTCCCACTTTCCCTACACCTTTAGCCCTTTTATTCCTATTTCACATTGTCAATTATCTCATTAGGATCTTATGTACTATTATAGTTTTCACACTAGAGAAACTATTCAGTATTTACACATGTGTGATTTATTTATTTCACTTAGGAGTCTATCTTCAGTATGTATCCATTTATCCATGAACAAATCTAATTTCTGATTATTTTTTAATACCTCACAGTATTTGTGTATCATTTTGTACAAGGGCATTATATTTCATTTGAAGCTGTTGACATTGAACTAATTTTTCAAATTACTTTTGGCTTTTCTGGTCTCTAGATTATAGTTCTATAACATCAACTCATTCTTGTCTATTTTAATATGACTATTATAAAATGTATAAAACTCAATATGTTTTATTATTTCAGGACATTAGAAATGTATCTTCACCTGTTGAATAACATTTGAAAATTTGATATATTTGGTAAAGTTAATTCAGAAAAGACAAAAACACATTTCTTTTTACACCCAAGAGGATATGAATAAGAACAGAAGAAAATACAGGTAGATATATAGAAGAAAGGGAAATTTTATAGCATTTGAGGACTGATAGATCCATCTTGAATCAAAGTCAAAGCCCAGTAGAAATAGGAAAGCAGAGAAGTAAAATAAGTTTTGAGACATAAAGGAGATGAATTTAAATCAACTGGTGTAGTTTAAAAGATATTATAGAAAGCAGTAACATACAGCCAACTTATAAAAAAGATACTATAGTAATGTAAGAAACAATGGAGCAATTTTGATGAAGTAGACCTGTTTAGGTGTCTAATGGACTTGCATATACAGATAGATCACAAATTTTATAGAAAATTTGTAAGAGGGATAAGTACAAATTTGGTAGAAGAAAATTATTTTATAATTAGAGGATGCATTTTGATTGTGTACAGTATGCTTGAGAGTCTTTCTGGGGTTAAATAGGGAAAAAGATTATTAAGAATAGGAATAAAGAGTAGCTATATTGAAGGCAGATGAGAACTGTGGAGAATAGACTCCTTTTTCTTTTAATATGTGCGCTCTCCACTAGAAGATTATAAATGGTTTTTTTAGAGAAATAACTGACTTTTTCACTACAGCAGTGTGTATTATAGAAAGAACTTGTGAATCACAGCTGGGATATCCAGAAAATGGCACATAAACAAGATATTTAGAATCTGTAGTAAAGCAATCTAAATCAACAGCTCTCATTTGGGTAAAAATAACAATAACCTAGAAAAAATGACATTAATATGAAATTGGATGGTGAGAGTATTTATTTATGCTTATAAAAATAAATGTTGTGAAATACATAGCAAGCAAAACTAACGTGGAATGAAAATAAATGCAAAACCTCACAAAAGCAGACAATTTGCCAGAGGTAGCTAAATTAAGCATAGAATAGGAGACTGTCAGAATGTGATAAGACGTGGTCGTGGCACCTCAGTTCTTTTCTTTTGGGACACCTGACTATACTGAGGAAGTGTAAAAGATGTTTTATGAAAATGTAGAAGGATGAAAAAGTTAAAGACTTGGTGTCTTATTTGAGCTGAGCTGTCCAGATTTTGAGAATTAAGTATATACTTGCACGAACAGTTTTAATGGAATGAAGATAATATGAGCTATGACACAGCTAATGATAAAAGAAGGGAATGGGAACGAGATGCGGAGGGGGAGGGAATGTAGGAAAGGAGATTCTAAAATAGAGTTGAAGAAAAAAATGGAAAGAGATTTTGCAAATCAGAAGGGGAAAAGGGGTTAGAGGAAGGGAAGGGGAAGAAGGGGGAAAGAATTAAGGTGCGTTATGTACATGAACAAATTAGCCATGATGAATGTGATCATTATGTACTGCAAACATGTACTAATAAAAAAGTGGCATTTTTCAAAGGAGTAAAGATTAATAAATAGGAATGGAGACTACTGCATTACTCAATTTCAGTTTAAAATATTCGTAGGGATATTTTAAAGGCAGGAGGGCTAGCTAATGATCCAAGAAGTTTTTTTTGTTGTTGTTTAGTGAGAGGGAATAATTGAAGAGAAATAATTGTTGCTTTTAACTGACCAAGTCATGATTGATTTTCAAAGATTTCTACATTTGTTTTACAGAATATTTAAAAATTATCTAATGAATAAAAACAAAGAAAGATGGTGTAGAGGATTTAGTCTCATTTTATTGGTATCTTATCATCTCCCTTTTTTTTACCAGTACTTGAGATACGATGCTTCTTCCAAGAAACAGTGGATCCTTTTAACTTGCCAGTAGCAATCAAAATCTTAAAAAATACAATTTTTCTAGCCAACAGCTCTAATTCTGAGATCTCCTCCAAATATATTTACACAAATCTTACAACATTGCTTATAATTTTAAAAGTTGAAAGATAATTGAAGTGTTCAACCAGACAGCAGTGGGTGAGTAATTTATGCAGTGCCCTCACTACAGAATACTATCCATGCTGCAAGACCAACAGAGTCTATGTGCCCAGAGACAGAAAGCTGTCCATCTTATCTGCTCAAGGGAATTTTAAAATGCTTGACAGTATATATGGTCTTCTACTTGGGGTTGACTTTTAGTTTCCTTTTCCTTCCTTCCTTCCTTCCTTCCTTCCTTCCTTCCTTCCTTCCTTCCTTCCTTCCTTCCTTCCTTCCTTCCTTCCTTCCTGGTACCAGGAATTGAACTTGGGACCTGTGCTTGCGAGGCTGGTGGTTTCCCTGAGCTAAATCCCTGGTCCATTGACTTTTAGCTTTCAATCTGTATTTTCACTTAAAAAGCATATATTTAAATTTTTTAACCTGAAATTTATTTGGAGGAGGAAAAAGTAGTTATGCCCTTGGAGCCAATGTTTTTCCCTAAACCCTGGCTCGGTTCCTTTTCTCTTGCCTTAATCTTTACCGCCAACCACAAACAAGCACTTTAAGCACAATTCATTTTATTATTAACAGAGGTTTCACAAATAAGTTTCTGCTTCCATGTTAACTTGTGAAAAAGTTGAAGTTCTACCCAATGTGACTACAAGCCTTTAAAAGTACTAAGTTATGGCTTCTAGGTAAAAGTTGGTTGGTTTTTTTGGTATCATAATTAAAAATTTAAATTCTAGCTGTATGCCAAAGCACTGGGGAGTTCAGCTGCAATTCCCTAAACTGTTTTGGCTGGGGATCTCTTCCTTCTCAATGCTAGATGGTCATCTGCCACCTCAGTGTATTTATTCAACATTTCCTGATGCATACTTATGTCAACAATTAGGTTGAGTTTAGACTAAGGTTCATATTATACATATGTGTACAATCAATATTTTAAAAATTTCATTCTTAGTATATTGAGCTTTTGCTTCTTAAATCTGTGAAACCCAACTTGATTTAAAATTTTATGTGAAGTTATTAAAATATGAAGAGGATAAAGTGATCCTTTATATTGGTTCTTGTATTATATATTATGTTCTGGGAAAGCAATTTGTGTTGATATCTTCCTGATTTTTTATTATAATGAAGCATTTCTTTCTTTGAAACTATAGATTCAGTCTTGCCAAAATCTTTGTTTTTCCCCATTATTAAATGTATATTGTCCCCTTTTGTTGTAGTTTACCAACCTGTTATAATTTTGTTATTTTAATTGATGATAGAATTTTATGTATTGTCACGTACAATATGATATTGTAAAATATGTGGAATCAGCCTGGTATAATTTTAAAAGTGTTTCATTCTCTCAAAAATAGATCAAAAGAACAACTGCCTATTTGTCATTGAGTGAGAATATCAAGGATGTGGGAGGAGGAGCTCATTAACTGGCATTCTTCTTAAGAACCCTGGCTCTCCTCTGAACTGTGGGTGCTAGCCTGTTAATTCTCTGGTAGACCTTTAAGCATTTGGGACAGTTGAGACTCCTGTTGTGCCTTCCTGGCCTCCTTTACCAAAGATAACTAAATATCGAACTTGAAAGATAAATTGGTCAAGCAGCAGCTATACATTGAATATCAGAATATGTAAGGCACAATTCTTAATCCTCAGAGAGATGGAACTATCTAAGTGGTAAACTCCGATCTTACTCTTAATACAGATACTCACTTCTTTTCTCAAAAAAAATAAAAATAAAAAACAAAAGACAAAAACAGGAAAAATTCAAGATATTTTGGTAAACAGAGCTAGTAAGATATTATTACGGGAAGTAAAATGTTGTGGAAAGGATCATTATACAATCTACTATCCTCATAGGGGTGGGAAAACAAATGTTAATGATAATTTTTTTTCTAAATAAGGTAAAAGCTGGTGATTAGAGAAGTGACTTTATATACTGTACTTTCCCTTGTTCTTAATCTAACTTATCCCTAATTTTATGTTTTTCATATGGTGAAAAAAAAATATATAGCTACATATCAAAAATATGTTTGCTTTTTCCTCTCCTGAATAATTCAGCTCTGCTTTCCAGATGTACTGCTGCACATGAGTATGTAAGTGGTGTTTTAGCACAGAGATTTGTAACCTTACATAACCTTGATGAGTGGCTCAGTTCATGTTCTTGTTTCAGGGATTTGACCAGCTTCGACTTGAAGGATTGCTTTGCGATGTGACCCTGATGCCAGGTGACACAGATGATGCCTTTCCCGTGCATAGAGTCATGATGGCGTCTGCTAGTGATTACTTCAAAGCCATGTTCACAGGTAGCTTGCCTTCTAAAATACTCCATCTGTATTCAAACAGTATCATCAATCAATGTGTAAGTCTTTTATTTCTAAAATGAAATTCAGTTGTTTTGGACTCTGTCTCTATAAGAAGAAATCCTCTCAAAAGGAATATTCGCCAGTGTGTATGGTTGTGGTCTGTGTTGTTTGTTAATGGGAAATTTATGCTTTTTCTTACCATCCATCTTTATTTCACAGCTTTTCTTTCCCTTTTCATATCTGAATGGACCATCTGAACTCAGTCTCCAACTAATCCAATCTTTAATATATCAAACATAGATAGTGGCAGGAAAACATTTTAGAAGCACTTGCATTATAGATGACCTCCATTATTATAGAGATAATCTCCTTTAAGTACTCTCTTTGAGCTGTAAAATATGCAAAAGTTTGACTCTGGGAGGAATGCTTTTTCTTGATTTTAATTAGCAGCAGAAATGACTTTGACCTTAATTATCTACCTTCTTTTAATTGAATGTCTTTTTCTTTAAGGTGGAATGAAAGAACAAGATTTAATGTGCATTAAGCTTCATGGTGTGAGCAAAGTTGGTCTAAGGAAAATTATTGATTTCATTTATACTGCAAAGCTTTCTCTTAATATGGACAACCTTCAAGACACGCTGGAAGCTGCCAGCTTTCTACAGATTCTGCCGGTTTTGGACTTCTGTAAAGTATTTCTTATATCCGGGGTAAGATATTTTCAGATCTTCTATTTTCATAGTAGACTGCCACATAGCCTGTTTAGAATTGGACCTATGAAAGCTGTTGATAGCCCTATGAAACTCTTTCGTGAGAGAGAGGTGTCACATAGTATGTAGTCTGGAAACAAGTTAAGATTAAAATGGGTGCATTTTTACAAAATAAAAGCATTTAACAAAAGCTTTCCATGTCAAATAATAGGGAATACTAACAGTGTTTGATAAAAATGGATACGTTATCCTTCCTGTTTGACAATATTATGTAACTTAAGGTTTTTATACAGCATTCTTCTTTAATAGAATTGTATGGGAACATAATCTGAGCTTCTAGAATCTGTTAAACTAGGATTGATCTTTTTTTTTTTTCCCTTGGGAGTTAGGTTTTAAGAACTAGATCTTAAGATCCTATGCAAATCTGTAAGGTCATAAGTCTTGATTCCTTAGTAACATAGTACTCATTGAATAGTGTTTAGCCTTTTTTGACTAACAGTGAAGTACTTAGCATTTACCAGTTCCTAAAGATAGTATTTCATTTTAGTTAAGACCCTTCAATCTTATTTTAGACCACTGAAGGCCTGCCATGGACAGAAAAATTGCCAGTATTTCCAGAACACTTGGAGCTTGCTTTTATGATTAAAATTTATATCAATAGTAAATTTTTATGTTTTCTTATTCATTGTGTTGTTGAATAATATACTTATTTGTAAGTAGGTTTAACATAAATTTAATATTTGTAAGTAATTGCTGTTAGGCCTCGCTCTGAAGAGGAACAATTTTTGAGAATGGAACCATCTTATAATACTGTTTCACAAGAACATGTACTTCATTATATTATTAATAAAACAGTCCTTGTCCATTAACAGATTAATAAAGAAAACAGGCTCTAGGTATACACCATGGGATATTACTTGAATTTATAAAAAGAATGAATTCTCAGCATTTTCAGCATTATGGCTGAGCCTAGAGGGCATTATGCTAAGTGAAATAAGCCAGGCACAGAAAGACTAATACCACCAGTTTTGTCTCATATATGGAAGAAAGAAAAGTTTATCTCATACAAATAAAGAATACATAGTGGTTACCAGAAGCCAAAAAAGGTAGGGGTAAGGGAGATAGCGGAATATGATGGTTAATGGATACAGGAATGCAACTGTCAAAGAATAATTTCTAGTGTTTTATAGCACAGTAGAGTGAACATAATTAGCAATTTGTTGTATATTTTCAAATAACTAGAGAAGATTTGGAATATTCTACCCATGAAGAAATGATAACTGATTCAGGTGCCATTTTTCATTTTAAGGTACTCAAAATCATTGTCTCACAATTACTTGTAAATTTTTAAAGTAATTGCCACTTTAAGAGTTATACAGCAGCATTGTGTTATGTTTTTGTTATGTGTTATATTGTTGGCTTCTATTATCTTTACATAAACAAGTGGCTTAAGTGAAGTTTGTTAATCTCACATGCTGCTTGCCATCATTAAGATTTTGTCCTAGATTTAATTTTAATTCTATCATTTAAAGCCCATTCCTTCAAGTACCATAAATTTATGCCACTGACATAACAACATCAAGTAAAAATGAAGTACACTGATGTACTTTTCAAAATGATTCAAGTCCAGTAATTAATGCAATAGTAACACTTCATGTTTATATTTATAGAATCTTTAACATTGCTTTACACTGATCTTAGGAACACATGGTCTTCCTGGGACAAAGTAGGGACAGTGCCATGATTTCTTTGGAAATAATCATTAACAAGATGCATTGTTGCACTGTTGTCATTCTCTAGTATAGAACTTTAATATTTATAACTTCAGATAATGGTTGTGATCATTTCCTTTACCTGAAAGGAGAGGATCAAACTGTATATTTTATATTTATTATGAATATTATTGTCAAAATAATAAAAATAATTTTGTTCTAGAAGACTAGTTTTGTTTAAAAATGAGAACCCAACAATTTAGTAATTTTAGCAAATTTCTAGTAATTAGAATATTGATTCCTTAACCTATTTAAAATGTTTCTTAAAACTGTTTATTTTAACCTTTTGAAGATTTCCTTCTTTTTATAAACATTTAATATTATATTAAAGATTTTGTTCTTTATTCCTAGTACTATAGATAACTAATTTAGATAGAAATTAATAAACAGTTAGAAAAAGGATGTGCCCTCCAGGGAGTCCATGCAGAAGATAAAAATGCATCAACACTGCGGCTAGAGGCACACTTGAAGAAGGCCAGGCCTCAAGATGGAGAGGCAACAGCCAGGCCTGTAAGCTTAAGAGATAAACAGCAACTGGAGATTACACTGTAATTGGCAATACCCATTCCAGTAAGTCTAGATAGGCATCAGACACCTGGATGGGTAACTAGAACATCCAGACCAATCCTCCCATCCCTTTCTATTCCTTTCCAAGAGTGCCTCTGATCTTTCTACATTAAAAGTTATAGGTAATCTAAAGTTAGTGGTGCTGCCATAACCCTTCGCTCCATGCCTCCTTTCCCTATTGGGTCAATATTACCTAAGCGACTATACTGTAATCCTATAGATTGATTGTACAGTAGTTTGACCCAAATTGTACCCACACTGATTTTGCTCTGTAAAACATTCTTGGAGAAAGCCTCTCTGGCAACCCCTTTCAGGACCCCTCCTTTCTCTTAGGAGCTTTCTTTTAATAAAACTTTCCTACTCTTAACCTTCTTTGTCCCTTAGAATTCACTCTTCAGTATTTGGCAGACTGAAACTCTGAACATTTAGTGGGGTGGGAGTCATTTTTCCTTATCACACTAGTATCCTTTACAGTCATGCTAAAACCTATTTCTAATGAGGAAGAGTCTTCTCATTGGTAAAGCTTACCTGTGGTATAGTTCATTATAGCCTCTCTTGAGTTTATGATTTTCTTGCCTATGGGCTAGTTGTTGTTAGCATTGGTCTAGTTGATTTAATAAATCCTCCATCCTATTTGCTGAGGATATGGCCTTGTGCTTTCACAATGAGAATCTTCCCTCAGAATCCTTACTTTTTAATTTACATATCCTTAATTTATAAATCCTTAATTTCTCTAAGAGATAAATAATACCAACCAAAATAAAACAGGAATAATTTATATTGCTACTATTTTTGCTATCTCTTGTTACAACTCTATTTTCATTAGTCATATCACTAAATTCTCTCTCATATCAATTTGACCTTCCCACCTCTCTCACTTATAATATATATATACAAGTGGAAGCAGTGATCTACAAAAGTGAGAAAAACAAATTAGTATTTACTACTTAATACTAATATTTAGTACTTTTAGCAAATTCCTAGTAATTAGAATGTATTATTACGAAGTATTAGTATTAAGGATTTTTAATATACATAAAATTGTATATAGATTCTTTGTTCTAGGAACATGTAAAATACAAATTTTCCTTTTTCCTTCTTTCCTGCATTGTTTTTCTTATTTAAACTATGTTAATTCTTAATTTATTTCTTTCCCTTTTCATTCTTAGTAATCAAGATAAATAGAAAAAAACCCTAGCCCTGAATGTCTTTTCTTAAAAGAACTGAAAGTTTCAAGATACTACAAATAATTTACAAAGGAGGATTTTTTTTTTTACTTTACCACAAGCTAAGTTATGGATAATGATTTCGTGTTTTAATAATTGTATGCTGAAATCAGATGTTTTGCAGGAATAAGTTTTATGTTTTTAATGACATAGTGAGATTATAGCTCACATGACAAAAGCATTACCCAGGTTAGAACTATTAGTAAGGCAAATTTATTTTTAATAGAGTTCCTTTTCTGTCCCACTCTGAGTCAGTTGTAATGAGGAAGAACAGCAGTGGCACATAAAATGTGAGTTGACAAGTAACCCAGAAAGCTTTTATATGTTAGTTTTGAGTGACAAGTTTAAATATGATAGTAATGCCACTCTTTGGTGGGGTAGAAACACCAGTTTTCTGTTATCAAGCATCAGAACCAATAGACAAACCTATCCTCTGCCGAATTTCACCATCCACTGCAGCATCCATTGCAGTAATAGCTTGGCTCTCCCCGGGTGGTAATTAGCATTGCAGTTTATAGGATTTGACATTTTTGTTCTTGTTATGTTATTTTCTTGGCACCTACAGAAAAGAGGATTGTGAAATGAATACAAAAGGATGACAGTTAAGGGTATAAAGCAGGGTAGGTAAAACTTTTTATAAAACTAAAAACACTTTCATACATCATGGAGAAAAAATGTTAAAAACCTTTTTTTATTCATATACCTTTAAAACTTAAATAACTTTTTGTCCTTATGACATTGTATAGGTGCAATATGCTAAATATTGTGCAGCCACTTTTTAATTTACAGATGGGTTGGAGTTAAAGGTTTTTTTTACAATTTGTAACTTGAAAGTTCTGTCTATCTATTTTGTGAGACAGTCTCATTGTGTAGTTCAGCCTTGAACTCACGGTGATCCTCCTGCCTCAGTCTTCGAGTGCTGGGGTTCTAGGCATGTGTCACCACTCCTGGCAGCAATTTGAAATTTTAGCATCTATTCTTTGTCCCATAGAATTACTACTATGGAGAATACCAGGGTGGCCTACAGAATAAACCCAATTTTACCCTTCAATGCATAGTGTTCCATTTGTAGAATGCCCATAACAATGGAACATAATGAAATGTTTTCTCTTTAAATTCTTACTCCTTGAATTTTTCTAGATCACATATATGAATTTCATGCAAAAATTTCAATCTTTGGCATAAATCAGTTAATATTATAATTAATTTTAATTAATTTCTTGAACAGGATGTTTGTAATTGAACTGGAAATATTACAATTTAAATATCAAAATATACAGAGCAAACAAAACAGATTAAGTTGGAGAACCATTTTCTTTATATAAAAACTAATTTAGTCAGAGGATAAAGATGCCATAGGGCTTTGGATTTGGGGATACTCTGCATTTATAATGTTTTAAAGTTGTTTTTCCTGCTTTTGTAGGTCACTGCTTCCACTTGTGTATATATTATAAGTGAGAGGGGTGGGAAGGTTAAATTGATATGAGGGAGATTTTAGTGATATGACTAATGAAAATAAGGAGTTATAACGAGATAACAAAAATGGTAGGAATATAAATTATTCCTATTATATTTTGATTGGTATTATTTACCTCTTGGAGAAATTAAAATACTGTTCTGGAGAAATTAACAAAGTAAAAAAAGAGTTTGAAATAGAACAGAAAGGAACTACATATGTGGGAAATAGGCAAAAGAGGTTCCTACCTTGTGTCCTGTATGTTCTCACATGTTGAAGGTAGAATAGGGAAAAATACCTTCTACATCTTCCCCTTGACACTTCCAAATAGCTTGTTTAACTTCTTCCTCGTGTTTTTCTGTGGACATGTTTTCTTTCTCTGCATTGGTTTACTAGATGTCGATCTGTCAATATAACAAATCAAATAACAGTAAGAAGAATTTTGTTGATTGAACAGCTGAGGAGACTTCAAACGTTTCCAAATTTCTTAGTCTTTGCTCTTCCATTGAGAGTACAAACGCAGATACTCATTTTGTTGTCTATATGAGAATCTGTTTGTATATAACACTGACCTTTCACAAAATAATATCACCGATTTCTGATGCAATCTGCTTGTGAAATACCAAATTATATTAATGACAGTGTTTGGGTACATCAGGTATAATTTGAACAGCAAGCAACAGCGAGTACTAGTATATTGATTAGAATAACACCAGAAAAATTTTGATGTTGGAACTGACTTTAGGATGACCATGAGGTTTGTTTGGTTATAGTACAATGATTTATGATAATTTATGTCAAGGAAAGTTAAAGATACACTTTATTGTTTTTGAAAAGTTTTTATAGATTTCCCCATAAGGTTGAAGAATTTTGTACTTTTTTGCTACTTTAGCCTTTTAAATGTCAGTATACTTATTTTATTTTATTTTTATTTTTTGGTACTGGGGATCAAACTTGGGACCTTGTGCTTGCGAGGCAGGTGGCGGCACCACTGAGCTAAATCCCCAGCCCAGTATACTTATTTTAATTACAAACTTCTTCTTCTTCTTTTTTTTTTTTTTTTTTTGTACTGGGTATTGAACTTGGAACCTTGCACTTGTGAGGCAGGTGGTGACACCACTGAGCTAAATCCCCGGCCCTCTTTAATTAATTTGTGTTATAACTGTTTTCAAGTGTACCTTCTTTAGAATTTTGGTCAAATCTTTATATGAAATTACGTGGGTTAAGATGAAATTAGAGTTCTTTCTAATTAGAATTTAAAAGCAAATAAGAACTAAGCATATTTTGAATTTTCAAAATCTAATATATTCTATTATATATGCACACTACATTTATTATATATTATATTATAACAATCCATTTTTTATGTTATTTAGTCTAAACATTTGGACCTTTACTATAAGTCATATTTTTAAGAATCATGACTAGGTCTAGGAATTTAGCTCAGTGGTTCTGCCACCTGCCTCACAAGTGCAAGGTCCCAAATTCAATCCCTGGTACCAAAAAATAAAAAGAGGTACCCATCTCAAAAAAAAATAATAATCATGACTAAATAGGGCCAGGATTTAGTTCAGTGGTGCTGCATCTGCCTGGCAAGCACAAAATCCTGAGTTCAATTCCTGGTACCAAAAATAATAAAAAAGAACCATGACTAGCCAGGTGTGGTCATGCATGCCCATAATCCCAGCACTTGAGAGCCTGAGGCAAGAGGATCTTTGTGAGTTCAAGGGCAGTCTGGACTACATAGTTAATTCATTGCTACCTGAATTGCATAGCAAGATACTGTCTCAAAAAAAATCATGACTGATTTGAAAGTATTCACCATAAAGAAATGATAAATATTTGAGGAGATATATATGTTTAACCCAAGTTATGCATTATTCAATGAAATGAAACATAGTAGAAGAATCTTGTACTTTACCCCCTAAATATTTACCATTTTCCATCATTTTTGATCTGCTCCTTTTGTTAACTATGATTTTATTTAGATTTTGCTTCTTTAATGCTTATATTCTATTATTAATTTTTTCTTTGATTACTTGTGCTTGATGAAAATTCATTTCCTATTACATATTTTCCTTGTATCTTATTTTAAAATTAATAAGGCTGTAATAATTTGCTATCCTAATCAGCAGATATTCCTTTTTTAGTTCCATCTGTCATTAAATCTTTAATTTTTATTGTCAGTATTTATAGGCTTTAACCTTTGTTATATACTCATATTGTGGTAGCTGTTGTACAAAAGCTGTAGAAAATGCCTAGTCTTTCTATCAAGAAGATTATAATTCAGAGGGTTACAAAACATTCTCTGGCAATTTTTAAGAAAAGGGTAGGCAGCTATCGTTTTTGACGAGGGGGTCTGTAAAGATTTTTTCTAGTCCTGTGTATCTGTATATATGACTGTACTGATACATAGAAGGTGTTCCCCAAATGCCCTTAAATAAATGGTAGGTTTCTTTCTCCTGTCTTTTTTATAATGGTTTCTCATAGGATAAAGTAGAAGAAGCTAAAAAGGAAGGCATTAAATACTTCAGAAAATTTCTGAAATTTATAGTTTGATGTCTAGTCTAATCTTGGTCTGTTTTAAATGCCATAAATTTAGATTTACATTTGATGACTCACAACTGGTGGTCCTGTTTTGCCCATGTAAAGAGCACATACTTTGCTGATTTTATTAGTGATGATATCAATAATGATGAGAATCTGCATATTCAGAAATTATATTTGCATTGCAATCAACTTTTACTTATCCATACTTGTAAATACGTTCAGAAGTGCAAATTACCTTCATTCTGGGGAAGGGCTGTTTCTTACTTGCTTTGAGAAGGTATATCCCTTATTCCAAATGAGAATCCCTTCTACCGAGTGTTAATTGGGCAATTAAATGCTAACTGTAACTCCATTTATACAACTTACAGTTTTATGAGACACCAACCTGTCTCTCTTAAAATTGAATTTAAATGGACTTCTAGTCATACCATCAATCCAAAGTATTGATACAGTGTTAAGCTGTGTATTTCTAGAAACTCATAATTTATTTTCCTAGTCCCTTTGAGTTGCAGTTATATTTTAAGTAATTTAAAATATACAACTACTAAGTATAATAAGCAATTAGACATTTTTTATGATTTTTATAAGCAATTCAACTGATTAAATGAGTATACTTTCTTCTTGAGTAATAACTCTATGAAAATAGATATATGCTAATCTCGGAGACTTCTGTGCTGTAATGTCTTAACTGGGCTATAATTTTATGCACATGAGTATTGCTTTTAGCTTCCTTCAGCTTTTAAATTAAATGTCAATAAAAGGATTAGCCAGTTTTCTCTTAAGCATTGAACATATCTCTTAGCAATAGCTATGGGATTAACAATACATTGATAAGCTTTGTGTGAAATATTGAACATATTGACAAAATTAACACTTACACACATGTAGACAAACACACACACACACACACACACACACACACACACATTGGAGCCTTTTGCTTATTCTCTCTCTCAACATTTGTATAGATAAACACCAGAATTTGTACTGTGAGCTTGTTGTTGTGATTTATTCCTTGGATTATATTTGCCAATGAATTTTCCTTTTTTTTTTCCTTTTGACAAGTCAGTTATTGAAAAGAGGTCCTACTAAAGAAGAGGTTCTATCGTTTCCTCATTTGCCTCTTTTCTGCTACACAGTTTATTTTAGTCTGTGCTAGGGACATGTCTTGGGGCTCATATGACTACAGGTAGAGCTATTGTGTGATCAGAGTACGAAGGTGGCTAAGGAAAGCTACATTGCTCAGATGCAAGCGGTGCATACCCAAAACTCATCTGTATGCATGATTTTGATGCAGGTATAGCCTTCCTGCCCTCAAGAAAGCCATTCCCTCGCTTATATATCCAGATAAATATTATGGAATATAACTGCCCTATGTGTAATTGTCCTATTAAATTTTTTTCATTCTGATCATTAACATTTGATGGAACATTATTAATTATAGTAATGGGTAATGCCTATTTATGTGAAAGGGAAATACAGGGATCTGTTTGTGGATCTGCTAGCTGTGTGATACATTTAATTATCATCACTGAGAATTAGATTGACGTGAACCATTATAGAATAATCTTCTTTTGTATGTGTGTAGGATGGGATTTTTTTTATGAGAGAACTAATTATTTTGGACATAGTCAAAGTTGCAACTATTTCTTAGATAACTTCCAATCTGACTAATCATTTTCTTTATCATCCTACTGAATTGGGTAAAGGTGCTTTGCATGTTCTTTTTAGGTTATTGCTACATATAAATAAACATTTTACTTTTATCTCTATGGACATTAAAAGGCATAATTCAGTCTCGTAGAGTGAGCATATTTGTGTGATTGAGATGTGTGTGTCGAGAAAGTAATCATGTTCTAATTTTTTCTGTGCTTAATAGGTCACTTTAGACAATTGTGTTGAAGTTGGGCGGATTGCAAACACCTATAATTTGACTGAAGTGGATAAATATGTCAATAGTTTCGTCTTAAAGAATTTTCCTGCACTGCTGAGCACTGGGGAGTTCCTGAAACTCCCTTTCGAGCGTCTTGCCTTTGTGCTCTCCAGTAATAGCCTTCAGCATTGCACTGAACTTGAGCTCTTTAAGGCCACCTGTCGCTGGCTTCGCCTGGAAGAGCCTCGAATGGACTTTGCTGCAAAATTAATGAAGAACATCCGATTTCCACTGATGACACCACAGGAGCTCATTAATTATGTGCAAACAGTAGATTTCATGAGAACTGACAATACTTGCGTGAATTTGCTTTTGGAAGCCAGCAATTACCAAATGATGCCATATATGCAGCCAGTTATGCAGTCAGACAGGACTGCCATTCGTTCTGACACCACTCACTTAGTTACACTAGGAGGAGTGCTGAGACAGCAGCTGGTTGTCAGTAAGGAATTGCGCATGTATGATGAAAAGGCCCATGAGTGGAGATCCCTAGCTCCCATGGATGCTCCAAGGTACCAACATGGCATCGCTGTCATTGGAAATTTCCTCTATGTCGTTGGTGGACAGAGTAATTATGACACAAAAGGAAAAACAGCAGTCGATACAGTGTTCAGATTTGATCCTCGATACAATAAATGGATGCAAGTTGCATCTTTAAATGAAAAGCGCACCTTCTTCCACCTAAGTGCCCTGAAAGGATATCTGTATGCAGTTGGTGGACGAAATGCAGCTGGGGAACTGCGTAAGTGTGCACATTCATATTATGCAAAGAGACCAATTTCTTTATCCAAATATTCTTTTCACATCATAAACTGAACAGTTTTGTGAAATTATAGATAAAATTATGGCCAGGATCTTATTTTAAGACTATTTTTCTTGGAAAATATCAGAGACCATCTGCTTGCCTTATCTGGATGGATATGGTTGGTCAGGGTACTAATTATATCTTATACATGCACTGGTATGTTGTAGAATAGTTGATTTGTGCAACATCCATTGTTTTCAATATGAAAGTTCACTTAGAAACTCTATTAAACTAAATTAAATTCTAATGAAATCGTAGGACGAAGTTTAACATGTTTCTTCGTTTTCCAGTTTTAAAAGTTTACATGATATTTTACTGAATAGGTTAAAAATCTTTCTTTACAGAAGACTGTCTTTTTTTAAAATTAACTTCATTATTGTGTTTTCACTTTCATAATTTGATACTTGTTAGAGACCACATAGTAAAATAATATTCTTTATAGATTAAATGTACAAAATTCAATATTACCCAAAGTTAATTTACTGTGAGTATTCTCATCTGTAGTTATTAGTTTCAAAATTCATTCTCTTGTTGAAGTATCAGGCAGTTTTCTTCATTGTAAACTGATCTAGCAAGCCATTTAATGGTCACCTTTTTTCTTTCTAATCTAAGGTTGGTCAAAAGTATATTTTAACAGAGAAATACTTTGACTGCATCAATTAACCTTAAAAGATACAATTTTGTTATTTTATGTTAAATTAGAATAGTATTGCTTTTCCAGGAAAAACATAGGAAGACAACATTATAATGTAACATTTCTGTCATTATTATTATTGGATGGTGGTTTTTTTTTTTTTTACTTCCTTTATTCTCTGTCATAGAGTCTTTATAGATGGCCACTATTCCAGGCCCCATAATGCTGAGGAGGATCAACATGATGGCATTGGCTCTGGATAAATTCAGTACTCCTTAGAATCTTCTTTCTCAATATTCTAAGAAATAGATGATACTTTAATGGGTTTGAGACTAAGCTATTTATTGGAGAAAATAACTACTCTCAGCACTTATACTTTCCTTTTTTATAAAGCCCTTTAATGCTAGTGGCATGGTCTTAGTACTACTGATCTTTTCTACCCAGTTTTTTTTTTCATTTGTTTTTACCGTGCTATTTTTCTAAAACTAGGCTTTCTAGATTGTTTCTAGATCGGTGATATAATCCCTAACTATATAAATTTCCCAATGTATTAATCTAATTTTTAAAAGCACCTGAGCCATTGATGTTCTTAGTGTAGACTTTTCATTTTAGATTTCCTCAGTCAGTCCAAACATATTATTTTAATATGATTATACTTTTAAAATTTATGATGTCTAAAAATATGCTGAAGGTACAAGTAGTGACTGTGTTATTTCTTAGAAAAACAACTAGTGTGACATAATTATTAAGTTAATAAGACATCAACCCTGGCAGTCTGTGGTCATTCTGAAACTTCTTTTCTCAAAGAAAATAGCTGCCTTTTTCAAAGTCAGTGCTTGCTTGTGAGCATTATAACTCTAGTTAATATGCAGTTTCTAAATTTTCAATATATTATTCCTAGTATTGATTAGAGGCCTTATTCTTCTGGGAATTAAAAACCTCAAACTAAAGAGAATTATTATAAAACCAAGAAGGTAGAGACTTTCTTTCTCTGGTGTATCTCCTACAGTCTTTATGTTTCTCCTCTGTTGTTCCCAAATAGAAATAGACTACCCCAATGAGCAAATGGCATATGCGCAGGCGTCCTTGATCATGACCTTCAGAAACTGTCCCTCCACCTCTGATTAAAAACAGTCTTTTGGGCCGGGGATTTAACTCAGTGATACCATGCTTGCCTTGCAAGAGCAAGGCCCTGAATTCAATCCCCGTTACTAGAAAAAAACCACAAAAACAACAGCAAAAAAGTCTTTTGTTTTCATATTGAAAGTGAAAAGAAATGAGAATCATGACTTTTGTGAACAGTTCTTAAAAACATACCAACTATTTGGTTTTATTTAGGCTTGAAAAATAAAATCCCCAAGCTTAACCTAAGAATAATGACTTTTTAAAAAAATATTTTTCCTATGCATGATATGTCCATTTTAATCTTATTTCATAAACTGCATTTTCCATAACTATACATCCGATTATAATATGGATGCCAATACTTTGCAGCAAGGTGCAACTCTAATTTAATTGCAGTCTAGTTTTTGATGTTTTATCCCATTTTAAATGATCTCCTATAATATATAAATAACTAAACTTTTGTAGAAAACCATTACTTTCCTTAAAATCAAGATCCTCATCAAATACATCCTAGTTGAAATATTTTTTTACAATATATTTAAAGTTTAAAAATTGTGATTGACTTATTAGGTGTACTCAATTGTATATTTTAATTCCATAAGAGTCTTTAAATTGAAAAGAGTCATTACATAAAACCAAGAAACAAGAGTCTTTATTTTTTTTCTCCCATTAGGTTCCCTCAAATATTATACTAAAGTTGGAAAGAAAAGTAGACTGTCTCATCTTGTCATATTGTATATTGCTAGGTATCCAAATTTGATGTACCCTTCCCTGATTACCTCTCTTCTCACTGAGCAATATCAACAAGCTATTCTGAATTATATCCATTAATGATAATCTCTTCATAAAAATAAGAAAGGAGTTTGTATCACTTGGCCTTTCTAGTTTTCTGGCCCAATCATTTTTGCAGAATCACAGATTTTGGATGTAAAGCAACTCCTACTTGTGTCTCTGAATATTCTAGCGAAAGGCTGAGTTTTTAACTTTTCTCCAGACTTTGTTTTTAAGGAGTCCCTCCTCCACCTACACATATCTGTTATAATAAGTGAATGTTTCCATATAAACTGATCATGTTGGCACATTTGAATGCCTAAGAGGTATGAATAGGTGCAAAGAGAATTAATGAGAAAGTCATTTAAAAATGTAATAGTTTCACTATCACCAGTGCTTCACTTATTCTTGCTGAACATCAGAACCATCTCATATATAATTATAAAAAAATCCAATGGCAGCATTTATGAGAATTTTTAATCATTTTAATGGATTTGGCCTTTTAAAATCATTTCATGGTGTGTATGGACCTAAGGAAAACCCAAATTTACTAGTACATTAAAAAAAATACCAGTGTGCCGAGCTTATTGCTGAAATACTAGCCCTCAGAAATGGTTGTGGTGGGAAACTACAGGATACTTACAGGAGCTGTCACTTAAGTAAAACAGGATTCATTTATTTCTGGCATCGTTCAAAATTCTATAAGAAATCAATTTTCCTTTGAGACTTTCTGTATTGAAGAAGAATATGACACCTTAAAAAAAGAATATGACAGCTTGCATAACTTTCACCTCAGTTAAATATTACTTAGTCAAGCTTTCAAATAATGAAATAATTTATAGAAAATATTAAATTTTTATACAATAAAATCACTAAAATTTATCAAATGCCGCTATATTTTTTAAGGGATCTGAGCTTTTCTTAGTCACTAACCAGTGCCCGAGGATTCTACAGCCCATTCTCCCTTTGTGGGAGCCGTTATTGTCATATAATTTTCTCTAGGCCAAATCTCAAAGAACTAGGAAGTTCCACAGCATTCCTTGTGATTGATTCCAGACCCAGTGGAATCATCTGAGAAAATAAGAACATCGAATGTATATGCAATAAGCAATTTAAGTGTAATTCATACATTGAAGAGATTCTCTGGTTTACACAAACCACCTAGACTACTGAAATTGATTCTCTAGATTATCAGAAAATATATATTTACAGCTATATGGGCGACTCAATCTGTGTCACAGCTAATCAACTCAACTGTTGTATTGCAGAAGCACTTGTAGACAATTCATAAACATATGGTGAGGATGTGTTCCAATAAATCTTTATTTATGACCCCTGCAATTTGAATTTTATATGATTTTCATATAATTTCATTTCACTCTTTTCCAACCCTTTAAACATGTAAAACCATTCATATAGCTATCCTGTGTGTCATACAAAAACAGCATTGGGCTGGATTTGGGCCTTGGGCTGAAGTTTTCGGACCCTTACTCTAGATTTTCTCAGTTGTCTCCTTAGCATTCCCAAATCTCATAGACTATCATGAAACCACAACTTTGCGGCTCCCACTCCTTGCCTTGAATCATTTCTTGTCCCTTCCTGCGATCAAAGTTATAATCATCCACCCATATCCAACTGTCTTGTAATTAGGGAAGATAGAAACAGGTTGCATGTGTATCTTCTTTTTAACTAGAGGCATTTTATTTTCAAAGGAAATACTGTTGATTGTACTAAGAGCAACTGCAGTTCTGCACGGAGACTGCTTAATGGTTGACAATAAAGACTACAGGACTAGAAAAGATGAGTGAGGCTGGGCATGGTGGTGCATGACTGTAATCCCAGTACTCTGGGAGGCTGAGGTAACAAGATCTAGACTATTCTGGGAAACCTAGCAACTAAGCAAGATCCTGTCTCAAAACAAATAAAAATTAAAAAGGGCTGGACACGTAGTACTGGACTCAATGGCCAGTGCAATACAAAAGGAAAATAAAAGATGAAGGAGACAGATTCTTTAAGCTGGAAAAAGAAAAGATTAGATTCAATGAACTTTTACTACATAGTTACTGTGTCATTGGTGGTTAATGTCCATCTTGCTTTGAGAGGCTCCTATATGAGAAAGTCTAGATGGATTCCTATAACGCTTACTAGGAAAAATATGCAATCAACTCCCTAATAGAGGAGTAACACTATCTTTCTACATAGGAAAGCATTGCTAATCATAAAGAATTATTAGTGAATCAACTCCACCATAAAATAGTAGCAGTAAACTAAGAAAAGAAAAAACACTTCAGGACAGTTTGAATTAAATATAGAAAACAACTTTTATGATACAGAAATTTTAAAATTCAAGGCAGAGTTGTGCTTTAAGAAAAGTATACAACTATAGTAAAATCTATTTTGGCTTCAGATAGATGAAGAAGATGATTTCTGGACTTTTAAAACTTTTTCAGTTAGGATGCATTACTAGATTACTCTATCATATAACACCTTTCCATTAACTAATTTGCTAATACCATGTGCAAATCAATGTACTAGGTCCCCTGTTAAATGTAGACAAAGAGAAAGATAAAAATGTACATTCAGTCAGATTTTCTTGTGTGGTGGAATTCATACTTAAGCTAAATGGAAATGAACGTCCAAAAAGACACTTTACCACAAAGAAATAATAAATGTTTGAGGTGGCAGTTTTGCTAATTACCCTGATTTGATATTTATAAAATGTATACATGTATCAAAAATCACATTTTACTCCAGAAATATGTGTAATAGTTTTGTGTCGATTAAAAATAAAATAAAACTTAAGACATCCAGAGCCTTGAAATAGTTAAAATAGTATTTGGACATGTAGCAGTCTAACCAATTGTTAATTGCAGAAATAGCCCTTATTTTGAGATAAGATTTTTCAGGATCCAAGAACCTTCTGTTTGATGGAAAGGTTTGAAAGAAATCAAGTCAGTAAGGATACAGACCTGAAGCAATAAGGAGAGCCAGCAAGAGAGCAGATAAAAATGAGACTAGTATAAGACTTGAAATAAGACAAAATTTAAACCTAAAAGAGGAAAAGGAAATCAGTACAGGAAAATGAGATGTAGTAACGTACAGGTATGAGTGGAGGGCAAAAAAGGATTTGCATTAGTGAATTTTGTAAAGAAATGAAGCCAGTGGATAGAGCAGAAAAAAAAAATCTCTCTTGCCTCCTCCCTCTCACTTGTAGTTAAGCAGAGAATATTGGGCAAAGGTTGATGCATCAGTTAGGACTGCATTTGGCTATCAGTAGCTACACCAATACATTATTCCAATGGATTGATCAAATAGCCACACTCAGTAGATTTCTACTTAACATGTAACTCCCAAGAACTGTATCATATGGTTGAGCAAAGCTTTAAGAGAACCTGTTGAACTGAATGTTATTTTGAACTTGGTGCAGAAATTCCCAGAGCAGTGTTGTGCTTTTGTTGGTAAGAAAAAAAGCAAGGTTGAAGGAGGCAAGACACTGGCTTGTCTACAATAAATAATGTGTACTTTTCAAATTGATCTAGATTTTATTTTTGACCAAAGTCATTGTAACAGCTCTATTTCTTTCCACTTTAAAAAATTCATTTTTTATGTTTTGACTGTCATTGTTCTGGTCTTAAGGTTATAATAGGTTGCTTGTAAGAGACTGAAATAGTTAAAGTCACTTCTCCAAAATACTTTATATTAAAGATGATAAATGTACTATTCAGACATCTCCATAGTAAGCGTCTTTACTTTTTAAATATGCTGCCAGTCATCTAGTCATCTTCTGGTAAAGAGTACTAGTACTTGCTATTTCACATTGTCAATTATCTCATTAGGATCATATGTACTATGATAGTTCATTCATACCAGAGAAACTGTTCGGCATTTACACATGTGTGACTTATTTATTTCACTTAGGAGTATATCCTCAATATGTATCCATTTTCCTATGAATGACTCTAATTTCTCATTCTTTATGGCTGAGTAATATTCCATTTTATAGAAAAAACACATCTTCTTTATCCAGTTTCCAACTGATGGACAAATGGGCTGTTTCCAAGTTTTAGCTATTACAAACTGTGCCACTATAAACATAGGTACACATATATCTCTGTGCTGATTCTTTTAATTCTTTTGGAAATAGGACTAAAGGTGTAGGGAAAGTGGGAAAGGTAGGGGAAAGGTAATAAGGGAAAAGAAAAAATAGGAGAAAATGAAAAAATGGAAATAAAGTGTTTGTAAGTGGGGAGTTGAGGGAGGGAGGGCAGGAACAGGGTGAAAAAAAAAGAGTACTAGTACTTGCTACCATGGGGATGGGTGTATAGAAACTATTGGCTTTAAAGTGTGCTTGTGGACATTACTGTCAGTATCTAAATTGTACTGTGAATATGAAATAAAGCAGTAGGCTGTAGCCATTAGAACATAAGCCAGGCCGTGTATATACTTTCATTCTCAATTTTAAAATGTGCTTCATATATGGCACTCTGGGACGCTGAGAGGCAGGAGCATCAAAGTTGGAGCCCAGCTTGGGCAATTTAGTGAGACTGTGTCTCAAAACAAAATACGTTTTTTAAAGAGCTAGGGATATAGCTGTGTATGAAGGCCCTGTATTGAACCTCCATTTCCAAAAATACTTGCTTTATATATACTCACGCTTGTTCTTGTATAGTATGTCAACACAGGGACTCAGAATTGAGGTATTTTTCCTCTCTTTTATAATTTAAAGTATTTTTTCTCACTTATTTTTAAAGTAAAGAATTTTATAAAGATATAACTAGTTATATCAAGTTATAAAGCTATAACTAGACTCCCTCTAAAAGAAACCTTAGCAATTTCTGTGTTATGTATGTGTATCAGTCCTACTCAAGGAATGTAAACATTACATACTACAAACACGTACTACTAAAGACCAAGAAAAAAAAGAGATAGATTCTTACATTATCTATTCTAATGTAACATCTACTAATGGCTCATATTAATGTAGTCTCAGTAATTACCATTAGAGCCCCCAAGATATCTCATACCTATCATATGTATGTTTCAGAGATCTGAGTATTAGTACTGTTCCACCTAAAAGAAACACTTAACTGTTAAATTTGAGATTAAATATAGTTCTCTCTCTCTCTCTCCTTTTACAAAACAGCTACAGTAGAATGTTACAATCCAAGAACAAATGAATGGACCTATGTTGCCAAAATGAGTGAGCCTCACTATGGACATGCTGGAACTGTGTATGGAGGGGTGATGTACATTTCAGGTGAACAAAAGTAATATATGTGCTTCTAAGAGAAATGGATAATACAATTTATATTGATTTTCGAAGTTAGTTTTGTGTGTACATTTACATATAATTGCTTTGGGCATTCTGAAAATTCTAAGGCTAGCAACAAATCAATCCTGCTACAGATGTATAACTTAGAAGAAATTGGAAAGCATTTAGATTCTCCAATTAGCTTTCCAGTAGTATACTCCATATTTGAATAAATACCATTCATATATAGCAAACATTATTTTAATTTGCTTAAAATTTAGCTATACTGTCTGAGGAAATGTATAATTATATAATAAATACCGTATACAGTGCATACACATGCATAATAATGCCTAATGTTTATTCTCTCCTTTTGTGTAACCTGCAAAATATGTAGTTTCTTTTCCCTTAATATTATAATAAGGTTCTACTATGATGTCACTTAGTGAATAATCTTGTGCTAATTCAGCATTTTAGGTGCATGCAGAGATGTTTTTCTATTAAAAATTCCAGAATGACTAGTTTATTCAGTATCACAGTAACTACTTTCATTCACAAATTGTTGGTGTTTAAATCACCCTTCTGTAAAATTAAATTTATCTTAATGTATTGATCACTTCTGCAATTGATTTCTTTTTTTTCTGTTTTTTGGTGTGTTTTTTTGTTTGTTTGTTTGTTTTGTACTAGGTATTGAAATCAGGACCTTGCGTTTGAGAGGCAGGCATCGGCACCACTGAGCTAAATCACCGACCCTTGCAATTGATTTTTAATTTTGTTAGTCAGGTTCTTATTGTTTGACCCTGGTACAGTCTCTCTATAACAATTTTTCTCCTATCTAAAGGTCTGCCAGTGCCAGAATAGCAGATATATTATGAGCTATCAAAGGGTTTAAGGGGAGGTCTGTGAACTCATTCTCTGAATACTACTTTATGAAATCTACATTTGAGAAGGATCAGTGAGAGGCCTGTAGTGAGTAATTTTCAGGTTCCTGGTGTTAATTCATGAACAACTACAGGATGTCTTATATTGAAAGAACTACCCAGGAAATCATATGCTCCACTAGTCAATGATTTACACTGTATACCTATTTTATGTGTGTAGCTTCTATGCTATTATATTGGGAGCTCCAAATCCTCTGTGGGGTGGGGGAATGAGACATAATTGTTTTAGTGGTACTTTGGCATTGTGGGTAAATACTACAGAAATGACTTCCCAATAAAGGATAGTAAAGGAACCAAGCTGACTTTCAAACCAAAGGGTACTACTTTTTGTTGTTGTTGTTGTTGTTTTCTTTTATTGAGTTTATTGGTACATTTTAGGTATACAGTACAATTGCGTTCATTATTGGGATCTTGTACCTTTACATGACAGGTCTTGGTTCTCATTTTTTCCCCGTGTCTGTGCCCTCCCTTCACCCCCTCCTCTCCTCCGCATTTACAAACACTTTATTTTCATTTTGTCATATTTTTTTCTTTTCCCTTATTACCTTTCCCCTACCATTCCGATTTTCCCTACACCTTTAGCCCTTTTCTTCCTATTACACATAGTCAAATATCTCATTAGGATCTTATGTACTATTATAGCTTTTCACACCAGAGAAACTATTTGGTATTTACACATGTGTGACTTATTTATTTCACTTAGTAGTATATCCTCAATATGTATCCATTTTCCTATGAATGACTCTAGCTTCTCATTATTTATAGCTGAGTAGTATTCCATTTTACAGAAAAACCACATCTTCTTTATCCAGTTTCCAACTGATGGACAAATGTGCTGTTTCCAAGATTTAGCTATTACAAACTGTGCCGCTACAAACATGGCTGTGCATATATCACTGTGGTATGATTCCTTTAATTCTTTTGGAAAGATACCCAGCAGAGGGATGGCTGGGTAAAATGGAACCTCTAATCCTAGTTGTTTGAGGTATCTCCATATTGATTTCCGTAGTGGTTATACCAGTCTTCACTCCCACCAACAGTGGAGAAGGGTTCCTTTCTCCCCACAACCCCGCCAACATTTTTTGTTGATAAAAGCCATTTTTTCATTCCTTAAGAACATGGAAATGTTATTTTCCTTATTTTTAGTTTAAAGAATATTTACAGAAGTCAAACGTTTATAAGAATACTTGATAAGTTATAATGTGTCATAGAGTGTGGCTAAAAATTATGATAGAGAGCCTTACTCACTTTTTCATTTTTGTGATCTGTTTACCTCATGCCTTTTATTTTCATTCTTAGGAGGAATTACTCATGACACGTTCCAAAAAGAGCTCATGTGCTTTGACCCTGACACTGACAAATGGATCCAGAAGGCACCGATGACCACTGTCCGAGGCCTGCATTGCATGTGTACAGTGGGAGAAAGGCTGTATGTCATCGGTGGCAATCACTTCAGAGGAACCAGTGATTATGATGATGTCTTAAGCTGTGAATACTATTCACCTATCCTTGACCAGTGGACCCCTATTGCTGCCATGCTAAGAGGGCAAAGTGATGTTGGGGTTGCTGTCTTTGAAAATAAAATCTATGTGGTTGGTGGGTATTCTTGGAATAATCGTTGTATGGTAGAGATAGTGCAGAAATATGATCCAGATAAGGATGAATGGCATAAGGTTTTTGATCTCCCAGAGTCCCTTGGTGGCATTCGAGCTTGTACACTCACAGTTTTTCCACCTGAAGAAACTACACCATCACCTTCTAGAGAGTCCCCTCTTTCTGCACCCTAACATCATCCCTACAACTAAGATGCTATAGTCTTATCTTTGCAATGTGTCATGAATTCTCTTCTTTTTTCCCCCCTTAAGTAGTATATGTGTTAGAATTAGCCTCCAGTAATTGATACAGATACCGAAAAAAAGATGATATTGATGTTACTTGTGCTGTTTGTTTGGCCTAGAGTGTTTCTAAAGTGATAACAAAACCATCCTGAAACTGTATCCCATAGAAGCTGATATTTAACATATGAAAAAAGGTATTATCTATGAAATGTTTCTTCAGTACTTTTTAATGCTGTGTACTGGGTGTGAGGTATTTGTCATCTTACATTATAAGCCAAGTTGAAGGTGGACTATAGTAAATGTACAACCGTGCTCACTAGGCTTCGAAGTAAAAAGTTTTCCTTTTGTCTTTGATTGTAAGATGTCAAAGGGAGGCAGCCTGCTCCAATGGGAAACAACATACAAAAGGTTGCCAACTCGCATGAGCTACCTCCCTCTTTTCATAAAGTATTTTTGACATATCTGTCAACCCGCCTGACTGTGTGGGTGCATTGAGAACATATAAAGTTTCTTAGACACACAGGAGAAATAACTGAAATTCACAGATATTGATTTTAAAAAAGCATGACCCCTCTGCTTATTACTGAAAGGCTGGGGGTTTTTAAGTGTGTTTAAATACACACATGTACTTATTTTAAAAAACACAAAATTTTAAAAATTGTCAAATCAAATAAGTGTGGAGTTCAAAAATTTCTTCTCAGAAGCAGCTTCCATTAAAATGGGAATTCAGTATGCACATACTGAATGCACAGATGTAGAATCGTATGAATTTAAGTGTATAAGGGCTAGAAATTTTGAGCAACTAAATTTGTCACTTGACCAAATTTTATCTTCAAAAATTGTATTCTACTCCTTCTCCTTTGCTGTTGAGGTAACTTGCATACTATATGTAATCTGTATACTCTCAGTTTGTGAGGTTATTTAGCACAAAATATAGCAGCTTCATCGGGAGAGCTGTTTTTGCTCAATGAATTCAACTTCCATGTTTTATCTATTTTTGTTGTTGTTCAATAAAAAAAATTAATGTCATTGTGCTCTGAGGTGTCCTGTTACTGTCTGATTTGACTTTCTTTTATTAAATACCGGTTTTTGCAACACTTAGTTAATCAAAATGCAGAGCACTATGTAGGTTGGATGAGTAATTCTTTATGCCTTTTATTGAAGGAAGAAAGACTTTGATCAAGTCTAATTTCATTGATGAAAACTCATTGCTGGTTGTCTTTCAAAAATTAATTTGTGGAAGATGCTAATTGGCTCTACTCCATTTCCACAGAACTGTGAGACATGACTCACAGTTATTCTTGCTTTTTTTTTCTTTTTTTGACAAGGTCTCACCGTGTTGCCCAGATGACTAGCCTTGAACTAGACTGATGTGATCCTCCTATCTCAGCCTCCTGAGTAGCAGGTAGCAGGGACTACAGGTGTGCCCTGCCGTGTCCACCTCAGAGAGCAGTTACATTTTTGAGGTAAACTTCCCTATGAGGACTGAACACACTGAAGTTTCAGGGCCTGTGAGACACAGATTCAGAAACACCCTGTGGGAAAAATTTTGGGTGGGATGACAGCGCATACAGTCACTTCACAAGCGTCTGCATAAAAATAGTTTTCAAGTGCCTGGTTGACCTTAATACTGACCAGGGTAAAGAAGCAGAGAATAGGGCCTTCAGGGAGGCTGAACTCTAAAAGACCTAGTAAAGAAGGGGCACGGTGAGAGAATAAGAACTGCACCTCTGGACTGGGTTTGAATCTGCTGCTTGCTGTGTAACCTGGCCAAGCTATTTAACTTCTCTGTGCTTGGGATTCCTCATGTAAAATAGGAATGAAAAGAAAGGAGGTTTACTTTGGCTACTGTGCAGGGATTGTATGAAATGACCTCAAAGATTATTTCTTGACATAATATCCTAAAGGAAAAAAAATACTTTTGTAAAAAATTATTTGTGAATTATGTTAAGACCATATTGTGATCTCTCCTGCTTTATCAGTAAATGGTGAGCAAAAGGAATCTGATCCAAACATTGAGGCCTACTCAAAAACAACTAGAGGATCATCATCTTTTTTAAGCAGTGGGGAGTTAGTAGTGTAAGACTCAAAGTCTCACTTCCACTCCAGGGAGCGTGAGCAGCCAAAAGGCCTCCATGATGCTGAGTCCTGTAGCCCAACGGTGGCTCCGGAGGCAAGACCCAGGGCCTTACTCCCGAAAGCCATGAACAGCCATAAGGGCCTGCACAATGCTGGGACCTATAGCTCAGACAGGTTCCAGGAGCTTGACGGAAGAACGAGAAACCCAGGAAGGAACACACCAGGCTAGATGGTAAACAGACCTTTATTAGTCTGGTCAGACAGCGCTCTCAGAACCAAGTAGCTGGCTCAGAGAGGTGCTAGCTCAGGGGTGAGGTCCTTTTTATAGAGGGGTAAAAAGGGGGGTTAACATTTTAGGCTTGCCGGCAGGGGACAAAGGTCTGCTGATTTGAGCTGGTGGTCAGCAGCCACATACTCGGCAGTCACATATTGATGAGTAACAGATACCTATAGGATGGATGTTTGAAAGGTCACCAAGACATTCTGGATGAGCAAACAGTTTGACAATTAACTGGGAGTCTCTATGTCTAGAACCACTAACTTACACGTTAATCAGGATCTGGACTTCAAACAGTAAAATATTGCCTTACATTCCTAAGCCAGGGTTAGAACAAAAGTAGGGGCTATGGCTACAATGGGAGGGGGTTAGAGCACTGTCTCCTAGGCCCTTTGTCATTTAGCATGGGCTTGTAATTGAGGTCTTACAGTAGCATAGCCAGATCTGTCCAGAGTTAAGCATAATTAAGGAATACAATTTCCCCATCAGTGGTACTATTGAATATTGAGTGAACCTGGTATGAATTTGAAAGGCATCCTGGGGCAAGACTCTTCTTAAGTGGGAACAACTGGTCCAGTGATTTCAGTTTTCTCTTTATAGGCAGAGTGGATTTAGCCATTGGTATATAGCAAATGCCTGCCTAGAATGGAGGAGTGTATAGGATGAACTAATGTTACTAAAAAGTCTACTGTGGGTATTCCTAGTCAGGCTGCTGTACTCCAAGTAGCAGAGGTTCTCTCCATCCTGTGGCCTGTCCCCTTTAGGTCTGCAGAATCCTCCCCATTCAGTTGGTAGAAGGAAAAAAAAACCAGTATTGCAGATTTGAGGTTAGTCTTGAGGGAGGCACATGTCACTTCTACCACTACTGGCTATTAGCCCTGTGGCCATATAAACACATGGGGACCTGTAAAATATCAGCTATGTTCTCAGGAAGAAGAGGAAGTAGGGTTAGCTATATGTTGCAGTCTGCCACAGAAAATACGAAGCATGCGCAGTTCTGTTCAACAACTTACCTTTTCTGTATCCATGACATGTATTATTTAGAAGCAATTAACTTCATACTTTACAGTAAGAGCTATTATTAAACAATTCTAACACTTGGGAAATTATTACACATTTTAGTTCACTGTGAATTCTATATTTTTCTTTTTGAAAAGCTACCTGCTAGTTATTGGTTGGCCTTATAAGCATTTCTTACAATTGGCTGTTTTAAATTCTTGGTCTAATTGAAAAAAAAGACTTACAATGAGGTAGGATACAAGAAATAAAGTTAGGTAGAAAGGAGACAAGGAAATCAGAATTTTAAATTTGTAAATTTGTACTTTAAAGAAAAACTGTAGCTTTAGAACACAAGCGCAACTTGTTTTCTTTGTTTTCCTGCTCCCAAAATAGGCCAACCTAGGCAACTGCCTTTCCACTGCAAATGGGTCTCCTATTCCCTTTTACTTGCAAGTGATCCTCTCTCACTCTTGAAGGGACCTCCCACCTGGCATTTCCCATAGGATAACACACTAAGGGTAGGCCACCCTCTCCCACTTTCTGAGACTAAAATTGAAGCTGAGACAGACTAATACTATAGATTATCGAATTCCACAAATTCCTACCTCCCGAAACACATATGACTGCCACATTTTTTTGAGCATCCTCACTCTGCTGTTGGGTGCAAACTCTAATAAATCCTTCTCACTCCTCTTTTACTGATGTGTCCTGAAAATTCTTTTACCTTGATGCGAGTTGGCGAACCTGTGGATTTATTTTAAAGGGATGCATTAAGTTGCTTATTTCAGCCTCTGGGACCCTCAGACCCAGACCATGACAATAATATCCATGATATATCAAAAAGTTTATGATTTTCATTCTTGGTCAAGGTAGCTAGGGTGTAAAGGATGAAGAAAGATTTTACTTTGCTTCTAGAATTTCAGAAAATTCATTTGATTATTGTTATTTTCTCTAAAACGTGAAATTATAACCTGAAACTTTTCTCTCTCTAATATTACTTTAAATATATGTACGTAGAAATATATAGTAATTATTTGGGAGATTCTAAAACAATTCCCTCATGTTAATGCATAATACAGTGTTCCACAATTCAATTGAGTAATGTTTTATCTAATTAGTTCCACCATGTGACTTTTTTTCATTTCAAGGAACTTTGTGTGTTTTTCTTCCAAGAAGAGTAAGCAGATATTCTTACATGAAAGTTGGCACTGACTCTAATTTTATTCTTGCCTCCTATACCTTTCCTTGTGTTTTTCATTTTCAAGCCATTGTCTTTTGCACACCAGATAGCTTTTGGAATAGGCAGGAAGAAAAGTAAATGCACAGTAAGTACTCAAGGTTGAAGAAATTTTTAATTAATTAATTATTATTATTATTATTATTATTATTGTGTGTGTGTGTGTGTTTTTGAGACAGGGTCTCACTATGTAGCTCAAGCTGGCCATGAATTTTCTATGTAGCTGAGGCTGGCCTCAAACTCACAGCAATCTTCCTGCCTCAGCCTCCTGAGTGCTGGGATTACAGGCATGTGTCACCATGTACGGTGAACATTTTATTTTAAATTAGACGAGTAATGCAGTGTTTTAAAACTTTTGGTAATAATAATAGTGCAAAATAGAGAAAAATTAGTATGAAGGAAGAAAAACTCAACCATCAATAGAAGTATGTTTTTATGCAATTGTCACTTAAAATTAGTATAATTTTGTATGTAATATATCCAGTATTTTCAGATACATGGAGACATTTTATTCAGATGCAAAATATATTTTGATACATCAGTGAATTGACTTTTGATACAAAATACACCAATGCAATTTTTAGGATAAGATTTACTAACCTGCATTAAATAAATAAAGTTTAACTATTAATATCTTGGGCTTTTGTCAATTTAAAAACTTAAATATTAATGCTCAAATAGGATATCTATGTAATAAAACAATAGTGATGCTGAACGATTAAAATATTTCATCAGTTAATGTAATTCAGATCTTATAGCAAGTACCTATTTCATCTCTAATTAAATTTAGTATTCTTTGGTGTCTCCATTAATTGTGTTTACCACATGATTGTCAAATGTTTCACCAAGATAAACATTAAAAGAAAAAAGTGAGATTAAAAACCATACCTCTATTGAAACAACAAAAGGAAGTATTACAACAAGGTTTGGCAGATGTTTTCTGTATAAAGATAGTAAATATTCTAAACCTCTTGGGACAAAAAAATCTCTATCACATTTACCTGACTGCTGGAAGTGCAAAAGCAGGCACAGATAATATATAAATGAATGAGCATGGATGTATGTCAATAAAACTTTATTTAAGGACACTGATGTTTGAATTTCATGTAATTTTCATGTATTTCAAAATAATACTGTTCTTTTGACTTATTTTTTTAATCATTTCAAAATGTGAAGGCTAGTCTTAGCTCACGGGCCACCCAAAAATAGGCCTTGGGCCAGATTTGACTCACAGGCTCTGGTTTGCTGAATTATGACTTTTAAAAAGACGTTTCATTACCATTAATTGATTCTTTCAACCAACTTCATTGCAAGCCTATTTCATAATAGTCAATGAAAAGACCTAGGGCTGTAAGATGAATGCAGCAATTCCTGGCCTCTTGAGCTCAATCTAC